AGGTATACCGAAATTTCGGTATGGTAACGGTATATATTGTTGTATACCGAAAGTTTACGGTATGGTAAATGTATGCGATAAAATATTCGGTATACCGTACCGAACCACCCTAAATAGATGCAGTCAGTCTCGTTATCAGGTCCGACCTTCCAAGACAAAATATGAACTAGTTGAGATCGAGATTATTTATAGGTTGAAACTTGAATCATAATACGGAATAAAAAATTAATCAAGTTAGAATCTTTATTTAATCATTTAATGTGATCGTATAATGTCTTCTGCTGTTCTGCCTTAAATAATTAATGTGTGTTTACTGTAGGGATGGAGCCAGGTTGTGAACATTTTCGAAAGAAACTTCCAAACTACTAATCATCCAATCATCTAATCATCCAAGTAGGGATCGATACCATTCATCACTAGTTTTTGGAACATATATTTGAGATTATCAAGATATATTATACGTAGTAATCATTAGAATAAGAGAAAAGGGTCATATAAGCCCATGTACTAATTTGAAACAGTCACTTAAACCCATCTATCCTTAAAAGCATCATATATACACGCATACTAATTAAAAAGAATCATCTGAGTATAGGTGACCTGCAAAATACCTGAGATTCCCGGTTTACCATCTGTACTCTTTGGATAGCATCGAAATGCATATCCCTTATCCATATGTGATTCACATATATACTCCAAAGTTGCCATATTGTCATGATTCCCTATTCCAGATTTATGTCCTGAATGCATATAACCTTATTTTGTAAACTGCCATATTGAAAACTCAACACAAGTTGCCATATTGTCTCAAACAATGTAATGATGTCATAACCTTTTATTGTAAACTGCCACCATACCAAGGACTGTTTACCCAATAATTAGTACATTTACAAAAGGGGGTTATATCCCATACAAAAGTCAGGCAAAAAACTTAAAAACACCAAAACACAAGCTGCCCAATAGTCTTCTGATTCAAACGATCTTGTCCAGCCACATCTCCACTTTAGACAACTTGTTCAGTTTCCATCTCGGGCTACAAAAAAAGTCAATGTTCAATTCCATTAATAAAAAGAATATGAATACTATTTTCTATTTTTGTTTCAATGAGCAAAAGTTATGTCATACAGACATACACACATATCTTACATCTATAAAAGTTTCCCCGGTTTCAGGCTCCATGTAGGCTCCAAGTAAATGTTAAAATAATTTTAAAACTTCTATCTAGACCATTCAAAATTTTCATAGGCACAGAATATTACAAAGCATCATCATTTTTGCAATTTAAGTTTTGAAGTGTACGTGTGAGTGTTTGTCGATGTGTATTATATAGCAGATCCTAACAACAAAATTATATTCACATCATATTTATATTACTGAATGTATGATACTCCGTATAAAGCAATCTATTCTTGAATGTATGAAGTAAGCAAGGTCTTTTCGAAGTGCTTCCATAGTTCCGTTTAAACTTTCAGATTAGTTTTTTTTTTTTCAGTTCCAGTATTATCGTAACCTAAAGCAATAATAACATATATAAAAACGAAGACTAATCGGTCTAGCAGTATCATCGCTACCTAACTTCAAAAATCCCAAAATTGAACCTTAACTAACCTGATATCCAGTAAAACAGCAGCGGTCCGGCTTCGCTCTCACGATGAAATCCGTCCAACATCGTCGTTAGCCATGGAAGCTTTCATTTTTGTGCGCCAAAATAATGAAATATTCAAACGAGATGCCCTAGATACACTCGCAGAAAGGCAAAATGAACGACGGAGGAATTTGGGCGTAATCGTTACCTAATCTGACCTGGACAATGGGTTTGATATTTTAATAATCCGACGTGGCCATATTTTCCATGCTGTCCAATTAATAACTCAAACACCGGGTTTGGCAGGTCACTTTTAGGTAACTAGTAAACTCACCCGTGCGATGCACGGCATGAGATTTTTGTTATGAAATTTATTTGTGTTCGAGAATTCACAACACCATATTAATCGATGCCACCATACAATGTCGTGTAATGCAGATATACATCAACGCTATAGACGAAACACAATGATAATATTATGGTGAAAATCAGAGAACCACCTATTACATAAAAGTTCAAAAGCATCACAATAATATGTCGAAACATTAGCTTTTAAATATTCATTTAAAATTTATCTAAACATTGTTGAACACTTCTTTAAACACAACATTCTGAGTCTTGTCAGTGGTTCCCTCATCTTCGTCAACAATTAGAATTTTCAAACCACACCGATTGGTCACCCTGGATACTGCTACATACAACTGTCCATGGGTAAACACAGGTTTTTTCAACAGAAGCCCAACACGCGACAAAGATTGACCTTGACTTTTATTTATAGTCATAGCATATGAAGTCATAACAGGATATTGTCGCCTATGAAATTTGAAAGGCAAGGTGGTATCCGATGGTGTCAAGGACAATCTCGGAATCAACACTTTTTGTCCGGCACTCACACCAGTTAAAATCTTGCCCTCCAAAACATGATCACCAAGCCTCGTTAATATAAGACGTGTCCCATTACACAATCCCATCGAATGGTCGATATTACGCAAGAGCATTACGGGTGTCCCGACCTTTAACGTTAACTTGTGATTCGGCACACCCGATAACTTTATACTGTTCAAGAATTCAGGTGTGTGAAGCTCCGCCATCAGATCGGATGTCGAATCTACTTTAGAAACTGTGTCAGAACTAAGATATGTCCGTGAAACTTCGCCAATGTTAAGCGCCGTCATATAGTCATTAACAGCTTCAACCACTGACAATGTTGGTGCCAGAATCGCACGGTCGCGCAAACAACTCACATCAGCTGCAGATTGAACATATTCAGGAAATATGCTTTCTACAATGGCAGCGATAGGATCTCCATCGGTGCGTATCAATAGATCTGAAGGAATAGTAACACGAACATGACCATCATTACTTTCACCAGCGACACCGTCACCAATGTTGGCAATCCAATCCGAAAATACCTTCAAATCGTAAGAATCTGATGGATTAGTCATGTTTTGCAGGCGCATATTTTTTGTCAACCGAAGTACTGTGCATTCCGACCACAGATATGATGAATTAATCGTCGCATTGACTACATCCTGTCTACTCCCTTGAGGTATCACTGGCAACACCTGTCGAAAATCGCCACCAAACACCATTGTTTTTCCCCCATATGGAAGAGAACCGCTATCAGGTTTGCGGAAATGCATTATGTCCCTCATACTGCGGTCCAATGCCTCAAAACAAAACCTGTGCAACATTGGTGCTTCATCCCATATAATCAACTTACACCGTATAATGAGCTTAGCCAAGGGACTTCCCTGTTTAATATTACACGTGGAGTCTTCATTTAGATTAATTGGTATTGCAAAGCGAGAGTGAGCCGTACGTCCACCAGGCAAAAGAAGAGATGCTATACCACTGGATGCAACATTAAGAACAATCTCCCCTTTAGACCTAATGGCAGCAGAAAGGGTCTTCCACACAAATGTCTTTCCTGAACCTCCGTACCCATAGACAAAAAATATACCACCAACCTCTTCATCAACAGATCGCATTATCTCATCATACACTCGTAGTTGCTCATCTGTAAGAGATTTGAACAACGCTGCATGTTCCTCCCTCATTGCAGTTTGATCGTAACGCATTTCTTCAAATATAAGTCTGTCATTAGAAGATAAGACTGAATCAAGAACCACTGTAGGCATCGGAGGATAATCACGCAAACTTTTTCCACGGGTTTGTAACAACCTTTCGATTTCTTCCAAAGCAAACTTCTCCAATTGGTCGTCAGAAAGAATTAGATCTACAAATAAGGAAATCAAATAAATTCAAGATGCATCATCGCGGAGATAATTTGTTAAATAAAATTTAGAACAATTCCAAACCTTACATTGTTAGGATGTAAGATATTTTAATGGTAAATACGCATGGAAGGCAGTACCTGGATGTTGTAATATTCTCCTTCTCGTATATTGAATGTCATCAGCCATAAAAGACCAAGATTTTCTCCAAACATATTCTGGTCGTGCCATTGACTCTGTCCATAACAATATTACAAATAGAACCCTCAAACAATAAGAAGATGAGAAATGACTCGCCTCACTGAAGGCATCAATGAATTCTCTATCATCGTCGAGCAAGCCCAAAGCATAGCACGCATCACGATACGAATCATAAATAACACCATTCAAGCTTCTCAAATCCTGATAACATGTTGCACCGCGAATGTGATTCAAAAGACACCGGATGTAATAAGATTCACCACTACCGGGGTGGACATAATATATTCTGCCTATAGCAAATGCTTGTTTTCTAGGAGCCCATTCTCTTGTCTTCTTTTTCCAAACAAACTTTTGAGGAAACTCTGCATATGTCAAAAGTCTCGCTTCCGGGTACTTCTTATTGGCCTCCATCCATGCCGTGAACATACTATCCTTAACCGAAGATGCTCGAACAACCGAATCCAGAGGCTGATCATCGCGAAATACCACACTTTGTTCTTCCGGTAAATGGAAGCTCAAACGTTCAACAGGTGGAGTCTTATACTGAATTTCAAACCCAAAGATGCGCCAAGCAGCCTCGCACGCAGATACGTATCTGCAATCATAGTACATCTGTATCTCATCAACTGGCTTTTGTTGCGCATCCCCATCAACTGTCTGGTAAAATCCTGCTGTGACACGGTCACGTCCTTTGTTTATGTACTTAAACAAATACTTGATGGACCTTGACTGATTACACCACTCCACGTTCATATGGGCTCCGTATTTCATCAACAAATAACGGCTGTGTGGAACAACAAACCTATTGTCCAAATCAACCTTATTCTTTGTAATTGTGCGATTATCCTTTCTCCTCTTATACATTGGATAACCGTCGTCATCTACGGTTGTCTCAGTGCACCATTTTTTAGGAAAGTGTTTGGTACATTTACCGTCAACCATGCAAGGGGCAGACTTGGCAATATTACCACAAGGGCCGTGCATCATAAAATCCCTCACAGCAGCATAATACATAGGGTCAGAGTTTATATCGGGGATTTCTGCAGATATTACCCTATCTATATCAGTAGGTGATGGTAATTTATCTTCGTTTGCTAACCACAACAAAATATGCGCATGAGGCAAACCACGCTTCTGAAACTCAATCGTGTATACAACTGGAAAAAAAAAATAAAGGAGGTAAAATAAGATGAATAATGGTCCAACGATATAAGGAATAAATCACAAAAAATACCTCCTCGGACGTTTCCAAAAACCTTATTTTTGCGAAGATCTCTAATCAAACCATCGAGCTTGACCTTGAAAACTCGACTTATTATATCTGGACGATCTTCCGCTTTCAAATTCCTCTGATGAAGAAAACGATCTATCTCAGGCCATCTTGGATTGCACGTAAAGGTTATGAATAAATCTGGATAACCTGCCCATCTGCAGATGGCCATGGCATCCTGATAATTTTGTATCATATAACGTGCTCCGCCAGTAAATGTAGGAGGCAACACAATTCTCTTTCCCTGTGTACGTGAATCATTTTCTCCACGCAAAAAGGCATCACTCAAACCTTTATACATATCACATCGAAGCTGCGTTTGATGCGTCCTAACAAACTTCAACCTCGCAGCCTCGACCAGGGTATAACCGTCAACAATGAATTGCTGAAATAGCCTTTTCATCCTCAACATAGATGAATGCTTGTCGCTGCGCTCCTGCACACGATACGCAAGAAACTCCCTAACACTTACCCTTTGTCTACCACCTCCAACAATATTACAGGCCTTGGATAACAACGTATCCTCGCGATAACCATCCTCTCCATAAGGGAACAATAATGGATATTGAAGGCCAAAATAGGCCGGATTCAATTCATTTATTCTTTGGAGTGCACCCGACTGTGTTTCAACCAAAATATCCCTCTCACCCATAGATTCGTCAAAATCTCCAACGACCAAAGCTGCAACCTCAGAAACAGAAGGCAAGTTATATGTTCTCGCATCACCGTAACGCTTTCCAATCAGCTTTAGCCTCACAGCTGGAGCATTATCCGCATCCATTTTTTGTTTCGCTAGGCGAAAAGATTTCACCAACACGTTATTCTGGTTTAGCATCTCAGTCAATCCAACCACTATACCTTCATGCAACTTCCTTGACTTACCATCTTTGCTGCCAAAAAATTGGAATTAGATTTCGAAAACCCATATAAAAGACACAATGATGTAAATGAAGACATTTCTTACCCAACGGATTCAACTCTATTTTTAACCTCATTTTCTGTGTCATAAATATACAATTGTGCAAACTTAGGCTTTGATCCAGTGAGAGGCAAAAGACTCCCCATTAGGTGATAATTTTGGCCATGAAGTTTAAAAACTGGAGGAGACCTTCCTTTGTTGACATCTTGCGCAACCTTACCGCCCATTGAGGTGAATGAAAACATACTGTTGTATGATCTAACGTTTTCAATGAAATGTTTGCTACGCTCATCCAAACCATGGATCAAATCAAATAGGAACGATGGCGGTTCTTTCATAAAAGGCAACACCACCTTGCCTTGACAACAACACAAAGAATACTTTGGATCATCCTTAGAAGACGTGGAAACAACACGTTCCTCAAACCAAAAATGGGCTTTGCAAAATGAGCACTCATATCGTGCATCTTCGATGTCCCAGTACTCTACAATTCAAAAGCACACAATAGAAATATGTAATCTAATCATAAACATTAAAAAATAGACAATTGTTCAGTCAAGTAATGTGAACTACTATCGAGAAAGACGCACCGACTGCTCTATTATGGTTGTGTGCAGGAAAGGTCTCATAATCAACATACTCATCATCCGCATCACTATCATTAATATAAGCCATATCCTCCACATCAACAAACGTTGAAGCCATAGGTACTATAATCCCGGAATCATTGGGAATATATTTATCGCCACCTGTTGTCACAATATTTAACTTTATCTTATGAAAAATATTTATGTAATACATCAATACTGCATAGAAAAGGCACAAAAGAGTGTATACTGCATCATTAACAACGTTACCACTGCCAATAACAGTAAAAGGAGTGATCCGTTGTCCTGAACCGTTGTCGCTTTGCACAATACTTGCAGTTGAGCACTTAACAACACCGTGAGGTTGATTTGGACAATGGGGAACAACATCATCTTCAAAAGCATATACACAATTTTCAAAACTCACAACCAAGAGCAACAAAAAAATTAAAACCATTTGTCAAATTATCTATTGTTTAATAATAATATCTATGTCCAATCATAGAGAGATTTGACGATGTTTAAATTGTGTTCAACCTATAAAAATCATTTCTTTAAAATTTAAAATTTATAAATAAAATTATTTAATTCCGAGATTCAATAATGATCTAGAAATTAGTACCACATAGAAGGATTTATATAAATAAAAATAGATTTTTTTATGACACAACAATTAATAATAATTGTTTTTAATTCAGAATTTGAATAAATAAAAATCATTGGGTTAGGTTACCCAAAATATATGATATTCAATGGCAATCAGGGTGACCAACCTTACAAAAACTATATCACACGATCCATACATATCATTGGCAATACTTAATAAAAAAGCTCCCACACAAATGAATATATCCACCATTTTTTTTCTCATATTCATAAAAACACTGCAAATACACAACTCCACTTCACCAAAAATAAGTATATTACTTCGTATATGGTAAACGAAGTTATATTTGTAAATACAATTATTTATTCTAGTGCAGAGGAATTAGAAGCAAACACAAAATTATTTTCGAGACATTGAAATAGAAATTGTCATAAAATAGTTTACAAAATTCATATTACTATAATTACCAAAATTAACACATAATTAACATAAAGCAATCCAAAAATTTATTTTATATTTGTTCTCAAATACATCAAAACATTAAAAATAAGTTAATCTCGTACTAAGATAAAAAGTCCGTTTGATACATTTTTTGCAAATTTTGGAAAAATAAACATGAGGCTGCCAAACCATAGGTTGGATGCTGAGATCTGGATAAAGAGCCCAACGAATTCAGACTGACCGGCCCAGCAGACGTAATATTGTTGACCCATTAACCCAAAGAATAAAAACATGTCACACACACACTCCGTACCCAAACCCTCCTCATTTTACGCCGACCCCCTGACCCTGTAATCATCTCTCTAACGAACGACTTTCTTCCCCAGAAATAAACCCTTCGCATGCCCCTTTTAGATCTACGATGAAAACAACCGGGGACCAAAACCACCATGAACGGTCCACGGTTCATCCCCACGCTCCACCCCGGTAGTCACCTCCACACACAGATAGATGGCCGATGCCATATGCAGACATCCTTCCACCATCCCCAACCACGACGCGGTGGAAAAGCAAAAGCCGAAGATCCAAGATGACTCCACCCTCACAGGTAACATACTTCACCGCCCACCAGACCAAAACACTAAACACCAAAGCCACACACGACACGAACGAAAGCAACACGGCCTTTAACGAAAACTTTTGAACGGGCAAACACGGCACAAACCACACACATCCTTATTTAAACGATAGATCTGTTCAACACTCCTTGTTTCATCACAGTCTGGACACTTGTTTTCTTTCATATCAAACCGTTTTCTTACCGTTCCCACCGGCAGGCATGATACACGTATTTTTTTTAGCAAAACCTGGAAATATGCCACCTCTAAACAAAATAAATTACTAAATGACAAAGATCTGGCGAATACAATGTTAGCTACAAATGTATTTTTATTTTTCTCGTAATTTTTATATTTTATTTCTTAACCCAATAATTTTTTTAATTTTCCGTAACTAAAAAAATCACAGGCAACATTATTTTCACTATAACATTAAAAAAAACATATCCGTTTAAAAATTTTTCGGGAAAATTAATTTTATAAAAAAACACTTTAGCTTCTCTTTCACAATTAGGTTACGCATCTATTTTTTTATTTTTACAGAAAAAATTGCGAATGAATGGTTCTTTAATGTTGTTAATTACCTACGATACATTGTGTGTGAGTATAGCAACAGTTTCATAACATCTTTGAAACGGGTTTTTTATTTTGATTTAACACGACTTTCATAAAATAAATTTTACAAAATACAAACAGTTGAGGAAATTTAAATTTCATTTTAATCTACTTTTTTTGAAGAATATAGATGGGAGTAATAGTATTTCCAGCCTTTGATTTTAACTGTTAAGAATATAGGCATAATATTTGTAGTAAAAAATTAAACTCTTGAAGAAGAATCTAAACAGCCCTACCGACAACTCACTGTGCACACACAGGGTAATGAGGAAAGGACGAATTTACGGGAATTCCATGCATCCATTCCCAAAATACGAATGTCGCAGTTAGGGTATGAATTTACGGGAAACGGGGTTGGGGAATCCGACTTTTGTAGGGTTTTTTGTGAGATTTACCAGTCTCGATAGAGATGTCGGATCAGAACCAAAAGTCGGATTCCATGAATCCGACACTGTGATTTAATTAGGCAATTCGGATTTCTTTAATCCGAATATGAGAAGTCGGATGGGCCAGGTGTTTTTTCGGATTTGTGTAATCCGATATATATGGATGGCTGTGTATGTGTCAGAGGCATGCATGGCAGCTTCGGATTTTGTGTTTTCGGATTTGTGTAATCCGATTATTTGGCCACCAGCTCCATCCATCGGCTCCATGAAACAGCTCTCTGATTGGTCAAAGGAATAACACGCGGATTGTGCTTTCCTCTTCTTATTTTCAACCCTTAGATCATATTAAAAAAAATTCAACCCTCCAATTTATTTTGTGCGATGGTTCACTATCCAACCACAATTCTTACCTCTTTAAATACCTCCAACATCATATTAAACACACTACCAAAAAACAAATTCAATTAGATAAAATTATTGAGTGTTGTTGCCGATTTTAATTCGTTGTGTCCTTCAAAGAGGTTAGAAATTTAATTATATTTTTATTCTTTTTGAGGCCGTTTGGTAACACTAAAATTGGTTGTATTGGCTGATTCTGCTGAAATTTATGAAGTTCTGGCTGATGTGGCTGTATTGGCTGATTCTGCTGATTCATGAAAAAGTTGTATTAAAAATATTTTTTATTAATTAATAAAATAAAAAGTTATATGGAAAAATAGCTAAAATGATCCTCTACAGTAACTTCAGCCAATACAGCCAGAAAAGTAACTTCAACCTTAGTTTTTCTACTTATTACACAATTCAGCACGTCAAATAAAAAATTACGTGTTTGGTGAAAAAGCTGGCTGATAAGCCTGATAAGCCGAAAAATGGGGTCACCAAACGGAGTATTTGTGATTACACGTGTACTGATTTTTTTATTTCAATCTCAGTATTTAGAAAATTTTTAATATTAATATGCAACTGATCTTAATTGCTATTAAGATAGTTGATATAGTCATACTAAATAAATATTAATAAAAATAATTGGTTCACTAATATTTGTTATAATGTATTAAATAATAAAGCAGTGTATATAGTAATTTGAGACTACGTTGCTTTTACAAATTTAAATTTAGTTTTGTTAGTTGAACATTTGAATTTAGTCATCACAATTTATTCCCAAATAACACTATAATATAATTTAGTTCATAATATTTATTATAATTGAGCCATAAAAGTCTAGAACTAGTCCTTTTATAGTTTCTGGCAAATGTTATGACTAGAACTAGTCCTTTTCTAGTTTCTGCCATAATGAAAATATTAATCAGTGGCAAGTCTAAAATTGCAATCAGTACATATATTATAATTGCACTATATTGGTACAATTTTCACAAGCTCGTCTAGAACTAGTCCTTTTCTAGTTTCTGGCAAATGTTACGTCTAGAACTAGTCCTTTTCTAGTTTCTGGCAAATGTTACGTCTAGAACTAGTCCTTTTCTAGTTTCTGGCAAATATT